CAGCATGAATACGAGAAAGATATAACGGATTTCAACTACATAACTCAAACAAACAACTGATACTCAAAGTCATTATAGATATAATAATAAATTATTGAAACTCATAAGCGAAACACGATTAATGTAGAGTTAATCAAACAGAATAAAACGATTTATTGCAAGAAACAAAATCATCAAACCGTTACGAAAGGTAGCAAATATCAAAGTGAATAAAAACTAATATTGTAGAAAAACAGAGAAAATAAAAGACACAAAGCAAAAAGAATATACGTAATGAAAGCGCAATGAAAAGTATAATCTAAAAAAATATAAATATAATTGACAAATGAAGAATTAAAACAAGTTGAAGTTACAAGTGAAAAAAAAACTTAACATTATCTAATGATTTCTGATTTGTCCCTACCTAAATTGAACAATGGTTTGATTGATTACACTTAGAATAGAACTTTCCACAAAATACTAGAAAAGCAAATGTAAAGGATATTTTTGCAAAAGCGGAACGGAGTGCGGAAACACTCAGAACCTAATCACAGAAAGACATGTGTGAAAAACAAAATAATATCAGTGGTGGAATAGGAACGCAGACATCGGTGAGACGGAAACAAATAGATTGAAATGAACACGAGCCAAACTACAACATTCACAAAAGTGCAACAAACACTCCACTGAGACTATTTCAGACGAATAACAACAACCAATAACTGATTGATAAAGAGAGCATTTGAGAAACACGTGTATGGTGGGAGACTCACATGTGTTGAGATTTGCCGTGTTCTCCTCGTTCATCACAGTCACACTCACAGCTGTCACGTTGATAGAATAAACAAAGAAAGCAAAATAGCTTATCAACAGTTGAGTCGACAAACGGAATATACACAAATGGTCAACTCGTGATAGAACATTGATGGAGAAGATAAACCACGTTGAATGATATCACACTTCAGAATGTGCAAATAACACTAGCACATGCATCCAACCTACACTACGAATATAAATTATTTGTCAGGAATAGTATGATGCATTTTACAGTAATATCGGATGACCCATGTCCAATAGAAATTGTTTATTAGGTTTGTTCAAGTTTCTCCCATTTTCCGATTTCACTGTACTGTTTCCACTATGATGAATTGATTTCTACGCCTTAGTAAATATTAACCATAAACTCAGATGACATTAAATGCATACACTTACATATGTCGATGTTTACTAATACGACAGTTTCACACATGAAATTTCCACGCAACACTACATCACACTTCTATTGTCACGGTGAAATACTTCTAGATATTTTCGTTTTCATGAATGTGTAGATACCGTTCACAATTGAGCCACATTTACATTACGATTGTTAGATTACTGGTTATGTGATTATCTTACATTCCGTTTGCATTGTCGTTCCTTGTTTGTTCAGTTTCTTGTCTGGTAGTTCATCTGCAAAATACAAGCATTATAGGTGTGTGAAAATACTGATGATTCAGTGTGGTGATTCAGTTAGTGAACACAATCTTATGAATTCTTTCAATGACATTGCTTTAATCATTGCTGTTGAATTAGATCATGCTCAAGACAGCTGTGATTTAGTTACGTAATCAATGTTGTAACACGAGTGAGTGTGTGAGCTGTTATTTGAGTTATCGTTAACCTGCACCTGCTACATGTACAGAAATGCATGTCACTGTCACCTGGATCACTACACTCGATGTGCAGAATAATAGAGACACTACTGAAATTTAGGAGTTTTACAAATCGTCACACTTAGATCACGGAGTACAATGTTTGTTGGGTCTCTCAATAATTTTCGTCATGCTAAGAAATGTCAATTACTTCCTACTGTTTATGAGAAAACACACCGTTTCTCTTGAATTACACATTGAGAATGTAAGCGGTGATAGCGTCGAGGTTTTGTAGCATGATTTCTGTCATTGTTGATATTGATGTAAATAAATCAATTCAGTGGTTGTTATCAAAACACTTGACACAGTGTACGTCTACTGGAAATATGTGAGTCAAATTGCACCAGTTATCCAAGTTAAATTTATCCAACTAACATCAGTCAAACCTAACTAGATTTATAGCAAACATATTTCATTTGCAGCATTTCTCTAAAATTATCCGTATGATTCGACGAATGGGAAAACCTGAAATTTGACAAATTCTACCAAACACAATTACCGACACGTCAGCGGGTACTACACTCACCTGAAGTACCCACCTTGTTGACAGATGGTGAATTAAGAGAATTTGGTGTAACAAGAGCAAAGGAAATTTAACATTGTCTAATGATTTCTGATTTGTCCCTACCTAAATTGAACAATGGTTTGATTGATTACACTTAGAATAGAACTTTCCACAAAATACTAGAAAAGCAAATGTAAAGGATATTTTTGCAAAAGCGGAACGGAGTGCGGAAACACTCAGAACCTAATCACAGAAAGACATGTGTGAAAAACAAAATAATATCAGTGGTGGAATAGGAACGCAGACATCGGTGAGACGGAAACAAATAGATTGAAATGAACACGAGCCAAACTACAACATTCACAAAAGTGCAACAAACACTCCACTGAGACTATTTCAGACGAATAACAACAACCAATAACTGATTGATAAAGAGATTACTGTTTATGTAAATATATTACATTCCGTTCGCGTTGTCGTTCCTTCTCTGTTCAGTTTCTTGTTCGTTAGTTCATCTGCAAAATACAAGAATTACAGGTGTATGAATATATTGATGATTCAGTGTGGTGATTCAGTTAGTGAACGCAATCTTATGAATTCTTGCAATGACATTGCTTTAATCATTGCTGTTGAATTAGGTCATGCTCAAGACAACTGTGATCTATCCATGTATTTTATCTTGTCATATTGAAAGCTTAGTCAATTTTTTAATCTTTTAATTTTTATATTTTGTCACTTTAGTTAATGCAGTGTACGATTCTTAGTCATGAATATCTTCTGTCATTTCTGTGTTTTCTTGGCCACCGATCTATTTTTATGTTCTTCGTTTTTCTCTTCTTTGTGAATTGGCAGTCCTTTTACTTCGTTTGTCGTAAATTGAATGCTCAAATCGATAGCACATTTTCTTCTCTTTTCTATCGCGTTTATATAGGGTTTGGTCATTGTTGCCAATATGAATAAAGTTCACATGTCGACGAATTTTGCGTACATTAAAATTGATGTCTTTTACCAATTTATATATGACATCGAATACACAGTCTCCTATGTTTAAATTGATAAACATGTTGTATAAATTTTTGAAACTTTCATTTCACTACTATTTACATCGCTATTGGTAACAACTTTGGTAACTTACATTTGACTTTTGCTTTCTAAAATCCAATGAAAATGTTTTGTTATCAATCACACTGAATAAAGTATTAAATTTGAACACTTCACTCGAAATTCAACTTTTGCCACTCAATCCTCAATGCAAACGTATATTGACGTTGCTGTGGATGCAAAACACATGATTTGCGCCTAATCTCACTACAATATTGAACAGCATCGGATCTCATGACGTACAAGCACACACAACTCAGTGACACGTCAAATACTTTTAGTGCATCGTCACTTAAACTATTTATCAATTGATCAATTCAATGACTTCTGTTTATCTTACTACTAGAAATGCGTTACAGAAAAGAAATGTTTTCAATCATTTGATAGTTTAATCCATGAACTCACATTCATGACGTTTTCGTTTTGATTCCGGTAGAAGAGAGAATAGTTTGAAAATAAACACCTTCGTTTTTATTTGAAAACGAAATATCAGGTGAAGAAAATTATGCTCAAAAAAGAAGAATAACACAGCTCAACTGCAATTTCAGTCCTGTAGATTCTACCACCACCAGACAAACACCATGCTCTGTGACAGCCTGACGTATATGTGATTCAATGGTTCATTATATCGTGATATTTCGCAAAGATTCACGTCATTCAATCGCCTGAAGGTGACAGCAATAGAGAAGCCAATCACCACTTATCTCTAGTTATTTAATTAGAGATATAGGCGTGTTGTGTCTATTCGAAATGATTTGAAGTATGATTCAAAATTCAGTACAATTTGTGCCCATCTCAATATCTGTTACCGGAAACATGGTACGTGTTGTGTTATGGATGTCATTGAATTATCGTGGTTATTACACTTCGTCATATTCAACATTTCAAGAATCTGAAATGCCATCGGTTAAAACCAATGGTGGCCTCAATTTCTCAATATTGATTTCCCTAATGTTTTCATTTGTCATCGGATTGAATAGGCAATGAGGACTGTGAACTCGATAATTCAACAGACGTCAGTCAGTAACTTGTCCGTACGGACAATAATACCAATTCATCGTCTATGTGGAAACACAATATTTATAACTGTACATCTGGCCTAGATCTACATGATACATGTTGTCACTATGTGGGAACATTTATAATTATCCTGTCCTTTAAGTTTGTGCAATGTAAGCACTGAACTATTGAATGTGCATACCATCTTCTTCACCAACCTTTCAATATCGGAAAATTTTGCAAACAATGATAGACATGAAAAAATATTACCGATTGTTGGTAAAGAGAAACGGTCTCCACGTCTATTGAACAGAATGAACACTTCTGTGCTTCTTTCCTTCACTTCTGTGTGGTTCATATAATATTCAACTTGATTTCGTGGCATGATGAACATCTCCAATCTATTTTTCGAATGTCCTCTAAACATCACTGTGGTGTCGACTTCACATGTTGATTCTTCTCTTTCTAATGTCATACGTGAAGATGAGTCAGACTGCATTTGTATTCGAACATTTTTGATCCTCGGAACTGTGAGAAAAGACGATGAAAATGTAAGGCAAAATGAAAGCACACAGTCACCAACAACGTTTGTTTGAGATGCTTTGTTTTAATCTGAATTTGCCAGAGCACATGGAATATTTAACTATCGATTACAATGTATTCACTATTAGAATTCTAGACAAATATTCTTACAAGTATATTACGTGTGGAAACTGTTAAGCAGATTCTTCTCTGCTCTCAGTACAAAATACATGAATACAGAGACAAGATATAATACTGAGCAACTGCAATATAATGACAAGCTCACCTCGTTCATATTTAATGTAATATGTTAAAAAATCGTAGTTCAATTTATACCAACTATAGTAACCGATAGCTTCATAGTTTGTCGCTTCACACGGTTTCCCAATGGTTGGCAAATTTCCAATATCTCCAGCTTCAATTTTTCTTGTAGTGCTTCCAAACCAGCCTGCTGGTTGTTGTAAATATACATATGAAAACGAATCGTGCTTCATCGGTTTCCATTCAAACGACAGCGATTCTGTCTGTTCTTGAATTACACGCAAAGTATTTGTGCTTGGGTTTTCTGTAAAAGTATCCAAATAATTTGCATTCACTTTAAAACGAATTATAAATATGTCACTTATTGTCAACCACACATGATCAACACCATTCATTTGTCGCATGTTTCGTCTGGTTTCAAATGTGTGCATAGGAAGCTTTGGTTTTGGTGTAAACGAATATACAAATGAAACTGTGTACACAAATCCTCTTATTTTTAGGGTAAGCTTCAAAACTGTTTTCGTTTGCAAGACGTAATAAAGTCGCATGATGAGCTCACGTTAGGCTACTAGAATAAGAGCAGCATTCAGATGCGTCACTTCGGATGCACACGTATGACCGACTCTTATGGTTAGGTGGACTGGATGGATGTCTGTCCGGCGACTTGGATCACCAGTCTGTGGAAAGTGTTTTGATGCAACGACCTTACTTGTTCTCACTTAGCAAGTGCGTCTACAGGGATGTCCACTAGTGACAGTTATTAAGAATCTGAGTCAGCTGCCAGTTGATACGTACATTGTTGGGGTCACTCATGTAGTTTGTCGAACTACCAAATCGTTTAATCGTTTGATGTCATTGTTTAATCATTACATTATATCAGTGAACCGAACACTCCGTTGTCTATTGCCGATTGATTTATCACAATTTCACACATCATCGTCATGAGGAGAGAGTGATAGTAATGAAACGAAGAAAATTGACATAAATATTATTATTACTTTAGACAAATTATATTATCATTCATCCATCCAAAACATTACCACACCTACTTCCATCCATATTCGTCTTCAAGTATGCCGGCTGAAACGTCCCAATCACCGTCTTTGATGATAAGAATGCTAGAGTGATCAGTAGAAGAAAAAGAAAAACATCAAACATGCATGCTTTTTTGAATGTCACTCGAAAATGACGTGTATTTTGTAAAATCATTTTGAATAACTTCGACTTCCATGACAAAATGTCTGTGATATTTTCATCTTGAAAGCGTTGCTCCATCGTCAGCTGAATAAATTCCATATAATCGTCTAAACAAATGATGACGCTATGAGACCAATATATTCACATCGTAATAAGGGCACACCACGTTATTAAAAAAACACAAAAGTGGATACCTAGTCAAACGCGTATTTCCGCAAAATGATCATTGACAAACTCATCCAGTTACGAATATCGTGATATTCCCAATAATCAAAACAGACGATTTGCCATCATCAATTAATAATAGTATAAACACTGTTATTTTCAATCTACTGCTGATAATATATGATCAACTACTGAATGCATTCGAATTTTCAGTGGAAAAATAATGAGAGGATTAAATGAATATAGTCTCTCTTTCTCTCTCTCGTGTTTATCACATGGAAAACAAACATTTATCATATAAAGATTTAACTCACTCATCATCAATGATAACAAAAGGGATATACGTCCTGAAGCCTCTACCATGTGTCAGTTCTTTACAACTAGTAGTCAGCAATTATATTGCATATATATATATTGAAAGTTCTAAACAAAATATATTCAACAACTGTGTAGGTGAACTAGTTGAATCAGACAGACAGTTTGTAGTCTGCTTTTCTATAAAGTCACCTGAGTAAATAATTGAGAAAATCTATTTCACTTTAGACTCTATATCTCATATTATCGTAAGACTGAAATAAATAATCGCGTGATAGTTTACTATAATGACATTCACTAATTATGCCGCTTTTCATTAAAACCTCATATGACTTTCGTCTACTTCAATATCGGATGATTATTAAACGTATGATGATTCTAAATTACAATAAAAATTGACTTCTAAGCATCTCTGTGAATATCAAAACAGTGTTCACATCAACGCACTCAATTTCTGTTATGAATTTAATGTAACTGCTTGTTACTAGATCTTCATGGAATGAAACTCTGATCACATTTTATGGTCGGCTTCATATACTTGGGAACGAAAGACTTTATCGTGTTCTGTCAATCGTCTGATATGATGAGGAATTTCCTAAGTGAAAATGTCATCAAATTTATTGAGTCATACCTCATATGAAATCAACGTGTTGAAGACATTTGTTCTATTCCATATTTATCACTCTGTTAAACAAATGATGGAATCTTCAATTAACTTGTCTCATTATACTGATACGTCTGTTGCTCAAATGCTTCTTGTGAATTTTCAGATTGCCCATTTTCGTTTGTCCTGGACAGTGTGGGTGATACAGACTTACCTTAGATTTGACAAATTTCCACACAATCGCAGATTCCAGTGAACACTGACTTATGTAATTCTGTGGAAATTTCAAGGACGCAGTCACGAAAATTGCGATCAATCAGCATCAGTGTGATATATAGTTTGCCAATATGTTAATAGTTTTCTTACGTCTGATGATCGGGCCTACGTTTTAAGCCTCTTTTGAGCTATGGTAATCTAGTGGAAGAATGATCTGGATCTATTCATTGCACTGTCGTTAGTATCAAATATCATTTGTGAATTATTCGTAAGCAGTCACAATGATAGTTTCAAAAGTAAGTGTCAGGTGCTCAGTAATGTTAATGTGTTGAATATTTGGTTATGATATAGTTCGAACTCCGCTTGCACCTCACACAGTGATCACAAAGTTGCCTACGTCACGTTATATAACACTTTTTATGTACTACTCACGATTGACTGACAACAAATCAGATACATGTTGATAGATTCAGTAGCTGGTAGACTCAATAATACATTCGTGATACTTTCGTCTCATCGAATTTTGTTGAAGAGATTAAACGTATTAAGATATTGCTTTTAAATGGCCAAAGCAGCTTAAACTGTATCATACCTATTACATATGCGTAGATGCTGACATAAAAGCAATTGCAGAACATCCACAACCATTTATTGATTGACTGTGACCACACACTACAAGGTAATTCCACATACAACTTAAGATGAAGTGATATTCTTCGTGTTCCAGATATTGCTGAACAAAGAAACAAGCACTCCATGAAACAACATATACTAGGTTTCACTTCTGTGTATAAAGATTGTTCATTTCTATTGAAGTTAGTACGTAATTCTCGACGTATGATTAGTGAAATTACACCATATGGTGTGAGTGTGTGTGTGCATATTCCACATTCACTCCGTATGGCAATACTTTTGACGATTATCCGAGAACAACTAATGGGATTGTTATCATTTCCTGATGGCATACATGTATTGTATGTCGTTTACTGCATCTCATTCTGTATCCAACTTTCACCTCACACTAAGTCACAGCTACGATAAACACATTATTCATGAAGGTCGAGTGAGTGTAATTTCTTTCTTGAAATATATTCACTTAATTTTCCTAATTACTGATCATCACCACGTTGTTTGACGATCGTTCTAGAAAAGCTCATTAAGTGACTAGTTAGAGCCTATTTCAATTAGCAGATAATTCCCATTTAAACATAAAAATTAGAACACGAAGTTCAGCGAATGCATCCCTTTTCAACGAATTCATTATCAAGCTGTACAATCGTATTTTTATGAAAATTTTGTTTTTGTAAATGTACTAATTCCGTGAGGAAATGTGAACACAGTTAACCATGACGTAATAAAAAAGGTTATAATACTAGATTACGTACTACGAATAATAACATTAGATTTAGTGAATATAGTAGGATGAATTAAGTGTTTTTGCCATAATGAATAAAGTTCATGGAGGTGTGAAAATAAATATGGTGATATGATGAGTATTTATGAATAAAACAATGAGAATATAAGACATAAGTAAAGAGGGTGAATGCAGTAATAATAATAGTAATAATGACAATATCATAATAAAAATAGTTAAGGCCAAGGTAACGACAACGAGAAGACGTACATCTTTTGTACGCATAGTTCTGGTTTAAGCTCCTGAATGGTAAGAGCTTCGGCTATTTTTAAGAGTTGGATACGAAGAAATTTGGGTAGGTTTGAACGAATCATATAAACAACATTAAAATCAAATTGTGGATCTGTAGAATGGGTATAATCCATTAGGTGGTCCGGTATAGAACTCCTAACTGCTTTCCTTTCAACCGTATAGAACCAAGCTGAGATATGTTCCCGTATCCGAGTTGAAAGCGAGCGCTGATTACGACCAATGTATCTTGCTCCACAAGAGCAGGTAAACTGCTTGATGCGTAATGAGACGACCAGACGCGTAAGCCTAATGTTTATGGATACAGAAAATATGTTCCTACTAGTGAAGGTTATTCAAAGTTTCACGGCGTTAAACGTTCTTCTAATAGTTGTTGTCAGACGATTTTCGATTACGTCTGATGTTCGATCATCTTAAAATTCGAGACCTATATAAAGGTTTCTCTTCGGAATGGAACAACTAGATTTCTTGTCGTAACTACGTTTATTCATATTTTTTCTATGAAAAGTTCCGGTTTACCATTTTCCGTCAAGGTTTTCTAGAGGAATGCGAGTTCTTCGTTAATGCTTTTCGTATTGCATATCTGATGTATTCGATAACATAAAGAATGGATGAGGTTTCTCTTTCTACTTAACGGAACCCAGTTATATAAGTTGGTTAGTTGGACATTCCATGTTTGTTTTCTAAAGACGGATCTTTTTAAAGAACCACTACTCCTTGTCATCAGACGTACATCGAGAAAAGGAATTGATTGGTCTCGTTCCCCTTCTAATGTGAAGTCTATGGAAAGGTTTCATGACCTAAAGGTATGCAGAATATCATCTAAATCAGTAATATTGTCACAACCAACAAACTTGTCGTCCGTGTATCTCACATATAGGTGGAATCGATTGATCATTGAACAAAGTTGGTCGTTTTCTACTTTTGCCATGATACAGTCTGCTAAAATTGGATCCAATGGAGACCCCATTGCGATCCCATCCCTTTGTCTGTATATTTCATTATTGAAACCAAACTGGGCATTAAAAGTACAGCGCAACAATAGTTCTTTCAAGTGTTCAGTTGGCAAACCTAGATCTATGTTCTTAGAGTCAATATACTCACATATGTAACATATCGTTTTGGTTAAAGTTACTCTAGTGAACAAAGAATTAATGTCAAGCGAGAACATGTGTTTTTTTCGAAGTATTAACGTCCTTAATATGATCAATAAATTAAAAGGTACCATGAAAAGAATATTTACATACTTAAACCTGAACTATGCGTACAAAAGAAGTACGTTTTATCGTAATCGTTACCTTGGCTTTAACTATTTTGATTATGATATTATCATTATTACTATTATTATTACCGCATTCCCCCTCTTTACTTATGTTTTATATTCTCAT